CAGGAACGATGGAGCGAGGCGGAGCAGCTGCAGGTACGGGTGATGGAGACGAGGACGACGGTGCTCGGGCCGGAGCATCCTGACACGCTGACGAGCACGGCCAATCTCGCAGGGACGTACAGGGAGGAGGGCAAGTGGGGCGAGGCGGAGAAGTTGGAGGTGCAGCTGATGGACAAGGGCGCCAACGTCAAAGCGCAGGAAGGCGAATACGCCAACGCACTCCACGCTGCATCATCTAGTGGTCACGCAGAAGTCGTCGCGCAGCTGCTCGACAAGGGTGCCGACGTTAATTCGCAGGAAGGCCACCACGGCAACGCCCTCCATGCTGCATCAGCCGAGGGTCACGCAGAGGTGGTCAGGCTGCTGGTCGACAAGGGCGCCGACGTCCACGCGCAGGGGGGCCGCTACGGCACCGCCCTCCAGGCCGCATTACAGAAAGACCACGTAGAGGTTGTTGGGCTGCTACTCGAGAAGGACGCCGAGGTGAGTTTGGAAGGCGACACAGAATGGATCACGGATGACGAGGACGAGGACAAGGAAGACGAGAGCATTATCGCAAGTCGTGCCTATCAAGGATGACTTTTTTTCTCTATTCTTATACCGATGTGGCTCCCTATCCTAAATTGATTTTTTTTGGGTATTCTTACACCGATGTGGCTCCCTTGCGGGTCCATGCGGGTTGTAGCTATGAACAGATATGTAAGGAGGAAAACCGTAGCAGATGCCCGGGTGAAAACTCCTTCTTCTATATGAGTGGCTATCGCCCTTCAGCCAGTGATCCTACAAACCGTAAGCTGTTCTGCAACAGCCTTGGTGACGCTCACCCGTCGTCAACGTCGTTCCCCGCTCGCCTGCCGCGCGTCCTCCGTCTCCTTATCTCCATATCTTCTACCAAGGAGAACTGTGCTAGGACGTTCCGTTGCAGGAGCCACTTCGCGGCCGCCTTCACTCCTCGAGGCGTAGAGAGGATTGTTGTAAGGTCGCTTGACCCTGTCTCCTGAAACATTTTGTCTCGATCTTTAGCAAACCTTGGGCAAAAGATGACAATGTGCTTTACGGTCTGTCTTGCCCAGCCGCACTCGCAGAGGGGGCTGTCGTAGTCTGGCACCTTTCGGCTACATAGGTAGTCGTTCAGTCCAATATGTTCCGTCCGCAGCAACGTTACTACCGTGCTCTCGACTTTGAGTAGTCCCTTGTGGATATGATGCTGCTTGGTGTCCCACTTGCTACCTTGCGCAGTAGTGAGGATGCTATTGTTTTCCCTTGTCTTCTCTTGGTATGCTCGCTAGCGGTCGGCCCAGTCCTGGTTTTCTTTCACTCGAGCGGCATTTTTCGCTTTCGATGATGTCGTCTGCAGTCGGTTACGTAGGCTTTCATTCCGTCTAATGGGCTTCGTCAAACGCACCCTGAACCTCTGTGCGGCTTGGCTCTGGATTTTTGCACACGCTTCGGTCACCCCCCTGCTGCCTTCGAGAACCTGTGCACGCTGTGCATAGGTCCCAGCTAGCTTCTCTAGGTGTAGATCGAGGGGGGCCACGCCGGATTCGTGTTCTAGCACCTGTATGTTCGTTGTCTTGTATGCTCCTGTAATGGTGCGAAGGCACTTGTTCTGTATGACTTGTAGTGGGTAGATGAGCTTGTTGCGGCCGACTCTGGCATCATCGGGATTGTACTACACTTCAGCCCCGTACGACATGGCTGGTCGTACAATGGCCGCATAGATCTGTCGCGCTTTCACAAACGAGGCGCCCCAGGTACCCTCACCACCATTCCTGACTGGGATCAACCCCTGACTGGGATGAGCCCCCTCGATCGGCCCCGATCCCCCTCAAACACTCCCTATCGCAAATTCACCTCGTTCCGACCAACTTCACTATGGCGACCTCGCCGCTATTCCTGTCCAATCGCCTACAATTCGAGGCAAATAGTATACAGGGAGTCCGGTTTGGACGTTCCTTGCCCTACCTGGACCGTTGGCGACAGCGCGGGTATCAAACGGCCCGCGGAGGGGGCCCGACCGGGAGCATCGCGCGTACGCGTCGAACACGCGATGGGCAGGGAGGACGAGTCGTCCTCGTGTTCCGGAGGATCGCCTGTTGAGGCCTGTCGGTCAGTCGGGAGTAGGCTCGAGGTCGACCCTAGATGACCGAACGCGGTAATGGACGGCTTTGTATACGTTGCAGAATACCGAGTCTTAATCTGCCAGCGGTGTCGCTATGCAGTATGGCCGAGCCACCTCCTCCGCCATCTCCGATGCAACGTCCATCAGCTTCTCGCGGGAGAGGCCCGGCGACTGACCCAAGATCTACTCACACGCTGGCCGGATCTGTGCGGTAGTCCGGGTGAGTTCACCTTTCCAGACGCCGTAGTCGAACGGATCCCCGAGCTGCCATACTACAAGGACGGTCTCGGCTGCAGGCTCGACGCTGGCGCGTGTCGATATGTCGCTCGAAACCTGGAATCGATGCGCAAACATTGGCGGGAAGCACACCGCGGATGGGGTGTCGCACAAGGTCGAACGGGAGGCTCGGGCTCGAGGCTACGAGAGGAGCAGCGGAGGCGGAGAGCTGAGGCAATGCAGCCAACATATTGCCAGCGCTTCTTCGGAGCGGGTCCGCATTCGAGCTACTTCGAAATTCGTCCGCCGGCCAAAGCACCGGCTGGCAATGCTGCTCTAGTCCCCGCAGCCTCGGGCTCCGACGCCGCGCGTGCAAGGCTCGAGCTAGCGAGGCTCCTCGAGGAGCGGCAGAGCGAAGGCCAGACGCTCCATACGGATACAAGCCAGAGGGAAGTGTCGCCGTGGCTGCAGCTCACGCGCTGGCCAGAATATCTCGCCGGCCATCCCTTGGATAAGCTGGCAGCGCTTGCTACAATGCCCTCCGTAGCCACGGAGCCAGGGCTGTGTGCGCTGAGCCAGAGTCTAGATCGGCTCGTCGATGCCCCCTATCCAAGATGATTGATTGATTGATTGATTCTATCAGGCTATTCACGGTGTCCGTATGAGCCGTCCCTTCCTTCTTGCCTTACATGTTCTCAAATCTGCCTTCGTCTCATGCTGGCATCTCCTTGCCGATACTTTTTCCTTTTCGAAGATGGGCAGGAGAACC